TTATTTGTGTAATGGACATGATATTTGTTTAGTTATTGAAAAATGCAAAAAATTAGCAATTGAAATGTGAATTTTTGTCGAAGATACAGTTTTATGGAATTCAGATTAATATCTGAAATGAATGAACATAAATAATAAATATTACGCGTGTACAAATTCCAAAAAGCAGTATTGAATATTAATGCACATTCAAATGTCCTAGCAAAAGATTTGGCTTTACCTATCCCTGGAAACCCCCCCAAAAGGCTGAAAAGAAAATGGTGCTGCGACCTTCTTTTTAATTAATTCCCTACACTTGTATATGTTTTTAGCATAATGCCCTAAGGAGTGTCGTCAGTGGGCGGCTTCTCCAACTCAAATCTTCATGTCATATTTATTCGTATTATCATTTACGCTTATTGTACTAAATTTTATAGATTGTGTAATTCAAATAAAGGAAAAAAAATATTCAAATGATTTGAGGTTAGGTTAGGAAGTGTATCATTGTGTATTACACAGAATAAGTCAATTTAAATAAATATGTTAAGAATAAAATGGAATAGTCATTGTTGGTATAAACCGAATGATACACCTTAAAAAAAATTAATAATTATTGATCTAGTGAATGCATGCTGAAAATATATGTTATATTGTGGATTTATAAAAAAACTTATTTCTTTATGTAAGTTATTTAATTAAATATTAATAACGTTTACCTATATTTTATTTATGTGTATCGATGCGTGTGCGTAAGTGAATGCAAATCAAATTTATATTAGCAAGTATTAAACATCTCAATAACTTTATTTATTCATATGACATCTTTATAATCTAAAAATAAAACTACGTGCTATGTGCTTGAAACTAAAATGTGTAAGCAATTACAATAAATCATGTTTATATAATTAAATAATTATTAATCATGTATAAAAGATGGTAATTATCCTGGATTATTCATGACCTTGAGATAATTGGACTGTAATGTATTTTAAAACACTAATGAATTTAAAATGTTTGGTAATTAAATCAAATACTACAGGTTATCTGCGTATGTACCTATGTTTTAAAGTAATTATAAGTATATTAAATTGATTGATGACAGTAAAATATTCTAAACCAGTAGGTAGCCGAATATCCAATACAATACGCTGTACAATCATACATAATTCAGTACGTACTTAATATGGTAAACGTTGAAACATATTGACAACGAAAGATAAAATATGGATGAAAAAAAATTGTAATTTTATCACTTGTAAACTTGAGTAAATATTAATCTACTCGAAAATGATCACATAGCTAAATCAATTCCTCAAGAACCGATAAATTGGAAAAATGACAATGATTAATACGTATGAATATATTAACTATGTAATTTTAGATTCTGAGTGGAGCGATGAATGAACCGATATTACTAAGAGTGTGAAGTAATTTTTGTGTATGTGTACCTACATGATTTATAGTAGAACAATTATTCGATTTTCAACTTTGATGGTGGTTCAAGATAAATATTGGATTCAGTTGATACTGATTTGAGGTAAAAATAGAAAATTCTCCAGTCTCTACTTTTCAAAATAATGAACAAAACAATTTAGGGAATCTTGAATATTTTCACCCAACTAGTTGTCGACAAAATCTGTTTTATTTTTTTTTGTTGTTGTTGTGCCTAATATTAAAATAAATATCCATGTAGGTAAACTTGAAATGTTCACCAAATGTGTATATTAGCATTTTCTGAATATAATGGTATAATAAAACAAAATGTTTCAACACTTTTTGGGCTATTTATACAAAAATTTTAATTTTTAATTTTAAAATTTGTATTCTTCATACATTTTTATAGCAATGTTTAACTCAGAATTGAATTTCATATGCAATAATTTTAGATTTATCGTTGAATTCAAATTCACAGTGACTTATTGAGATACTCAAACCCTACTGTACAGCAAAATGGTTACCCACTTTCCCACATTTTTAAAACCTTTTTCAATGTTACTAAAAGTTTCGATAAAAAAAATTTTCATTTGGAAAATGTCCAGATTATAGCTGGACAAAATGTTTTAGTGAATTAAAAAAAAAATTTCAAAAATTGTACAACTTCTACCCTTATCTTATAATATTTAATTTTATTTTTAATTCAAATTTAATGACATTAGGGAAATATTCTTAGGGTTGATTTATTTACATCGAATTATTATGTCTACAATTATTGACTGCTACTTTACTATGAATCTATAATCTATATATAGCATATTAATATATTTCACTTGTGTTAACTACAAATAATACATCAAATATTCTGATATTGATGGTTATTGTAATATATGCACATGTGCATTATGTACCTATTGTCCAGTTGGGTCTAAGAACAAAAACACCTTATTATTATTTAAATCCAATAGTTTTTTTAGTTGAAATCTTTTTGTAATTCAGCTAACTAAAAATTGGTTGTACACCTAGGATTATAATAATTTTATATAATGTATTTCTTTAATTTTTTATCATAAACATTATTGTATTAATGGTAATAACTAATACAGTTAAAAAGTTATTTATATTTGTAAATATTTATAAATTACTATATTTGTGAACTGGGTTTAAGCATATTATGCATTTTCCTAAACATTTTAAAACCAGTTAAAAGTGCACAGATAAGTTCTTTATTTATAAAGAAAAAATATTCATAACTTGTAATAATAATATAAAACAAATAGACACAACTCTAGAGTACGTTTAATGTTCTCCTCTTTTCATTATTTTTATATCCATAGTTAAATTCACTCTAATATTAACTAAAACTAAACTGCAATAATACTAATTTGGTAAATAATTTAACTTTGTTGCACATATGCGAGACAAAGACCTGAAATATGGATAATAATATGTTGTCCTCTTAATGTGTGTGTGGTTATAGAGTTGGTTTTAGTTGCTGTGTATGAAACCGTTGAATGCACAAGCGATGAAACATAGTCGTTACGAGAATAAGTAGAGTCGTTATGGTAACATATATTCCGTCAAATAGATTTAGGCTATGTATTCTCGTATCCTAACGTCTTAGTAGTAGGTACTAGATACAAATTGTACAAAGTATCTACCTACGAGTATTACAAGTAAGTGCAGAATGCAGTAAGATATATATTTACAAAATTTAAGCACGTTTCATTCCTCCAAACTCGTTCTGCGATGATGAAGCTTTATCAGCGTTGAAAATTCAAATTTTTTTTTTTAAACATTCATATATTATTGGGTGATTCACTAAGTATACGAGCCAGATAAAATCTTAGTGGGGTAACATAACGTTTCCATTATACATTGTAACCCTACCACTTCAACGTTGGCTCATATTTTAGACACAATACCCAGTTACTACCACGGAGTATAGACATTTTATTCAGTGTATACTTTTTACTCATTTTGATACCTGCGAATAGTATTATCTTCCTCCTATATACTTAGCATTAGGTATAGTAATAATAAAACCAGTTTCTATAACATTATTATACACATTTCATCGCGCTTCTCGGTAATACAACAAATAATAATAAATGACAAATCTTCAGCGTCTTTCATTTATTTGAATTCATATCTATAATTATTTTGAACATTACTACGTCATATCGTTTCATGATCAACTTATTATGTACATTAATTAAATATGATTTTATGTTTACAATAATAATATAAAGTGAGATAGAACTTTAAGTTTCGTTTCGAATAATAATTAAAGAATGATAAATATAACATTACTTACACAGATATACAATATTATATAAAAATCAAACACTTTTGTACTTTAACGTATAATTATATATTTTTAAATGTGTATTGAGTGTATGTCACGGTATTCATAACACATTTTAATATCGTACTTATATTATAAGTTACTACTCATGCTTGAGGTTTATATTTAGTATTTATCATGGTTATAATATTAATTTGACCCAAGAATTATTTAACCAGAGCATTAATAAAAAATATGAGATTTCCATGATTTGTATTTTTTTTTTTTTTTTAATATCATAATTTGTACAAACAGTTTGGCTATGTTAGTGAACATACTCCTCTAGCCGTAAAAATTGTGTTAAGATTTTGCATCTGAATTAACAGGAATCTATAAAAACCCATAATATTAGCTGAATGATTTTTTTCCACAACGCCTGAATAAACCGTAACCCTTTAATTTTTTTTTAAAAGTATTTCATGGAGTATTATGTTCTTTTTTGCATGTTTATTTCATGGTTTATTCGATAGTCATAATCGACGTGCTTATTATAATACGTTTTACTTTTTTAATAAAATAAACTGGTTTTGATTTAGACGTATATCTAATTAGTACCTAATACGGCAACGATATAATATTCTAAGTGTCTAAGGTACAACGTTTTCAAATAATGTTTTGCCTGGACCCTAGTTCAGTATTGGTCTAGTACTTAACACCCATATTAACCCAATGAATAATAGCGATTCAATAAATACTACTCAATAACCCATTCAGGGCAGCGATTACTATTACAACGTAATAGAATTAAATTAGGTTATAAACTTACTATAATATGATACCCATCCACCTGTCCAATGACGTATTTCCAAGGGGTTGGTGTAGAGCCGTTCCAGGGAATTTATTATATTCCTACACATTTTCTTGAATTTTAAAGAATAAAAAAATAAAAAAAAAATATTTATATTATAGTTGTATTCAGTACATTTGGTATCGCGATGCAGACAAAGTATGTCATTATATAAAATTATGATATAGGTACTTATTATAGTTTTAAAATCAGTTATGTTTCATCTGTTTGGTCCATACTGATGGTTTTATTAATTCGTAATGTGATAAAATTTACATTTATTATAACGGGGATCAAAAGTTTATGTTTTAACATTTTATAGTGACTTATAAAATTATTCCTCATAATTACAACACCCCCTCACCTCAAACACGAAAATATTCGTTAGCACACCAATATACAAGCACTGGAATTTCATTTAAAAAATTTAAATATTATAAATCATGGACTTACACTACTCTTTGTATCGTTTTGTCTCGCATCCCAAACTTCAATAACACCACAAAATCTTATTGGAAATATTTTTTGGGTAATTTAAACGTGAGGCGATAAGACTACAAAACGCACTTGATGAAAAATAAACACCCTCACGGAACCAATGCGAAACCGCCTAGCTCGTGTACACGCGATACGACTGATCAACAATTCAAATTGAATTTAAAATTATTCTTTAACTTTAGACGAACGGCTCTCCCCCCTGCTACCATTCACAATAAAAACGCTATTTACTGCTATAACGCGTATTGCGACCGGTTTCACGTTTTCAAGTTCGACAGGATTCACGTTGTTGGTTTGCCATTTTTCCGTATAATAAATCACTAAACATTAACACCGCAGCTGACCATTTCAAATTTGTAATATTTTTCACAAGTTCAACAATTATAATTCATACCGGGGGGGAAAAAATACAAGAATTTATAGGTGAATTTTGTGAGATATCATATTAAATTATAGCGGTAACCTTATAATATTAGTTTTGGTTGGTATATATCTATAATGTTTATTGTGTTAGTGTTTTGACTTTCAGTTTTTGACTATCGTTATTATTTATTAGCTATAACAAATTTATTTAGATGCATAATGTTTAAATAATTCCACTAAGTAGATACTATGTATAATTATATTATATAATAATAGTCTGTTTATAATTTAAATTATATTTAACAGGTATCTACTATATTATAGGTATATTATAAAATAATGTAAACACAAACTCTTAAAATGTATTGATATACATTTAAAAAAGTTGTTATAAAATATATATATCAAACCGGATGTTGGTACTATAATTGATAACATTTTTCAATCATTTTAGTGGAACGAATAATACTCCAAGTTAGAGGGGAAAATTCAATGTCACTCAGTATCGTATGTAGTATGTAATTATTAATAATACATCGTTAGATGCCAATAGCTATAAACAAAACGATAAAATACTTGTTTTGATTCAACGAAATTATATAATTGTAGAGTATATAATATGGCCTATAGATAATATGGATGGCTATAATATTTAACGTTGACCCACATTTAGCAAAATAATATCGGTTATTATTATTCAAACGATACACGTTTAGACTAGATCATAAAAATCACTAAAACCAAAAAGTAGCCTCAACATATTCGATATTGAACATCCGAAAAAAAAAATACAGAATAACAAAATCATAAAACTATTGATGACAGTATCTTAATAATATTTCAAAAAGTAAACTGTACTGTTCAACGTGTATGCGCGTAATACCAAGCAAAATACTTTTACAATATTTAGCGGTTGACTGGTTAATAATTTTAATAGGTCAACTGAGTAGATTTCATACATACACAGACTAGATTTTTCAAATAAACTATGTACGAGTAAGTAGTTTATTGTTTTATCTTTTTCAAATTGGTTTCTGTAGTTTTATTCTTATGTAGAGAGTAGATTTGAATGGACTATTTGTCGTATTTGAGTATTGATAAAATATAATTAATATGCGTGTATAGAAAAGTTTGAAAACATTATGACATGTATATATGAGCACATTAACAAAATATATTCAATCAAAATAATTATCGTGGTCAGGAATACTGATAAAAATAATTATTTCATGTATTCTGATAAAGTTTATACAACTACATCTAGATCTGTCAAACTTGTTACCAACTACCGACAACAAACCTATTTTCAAATTATTCATTAAAGTTAAGTGTTATAAGAAATAAAAAAACAGTATTAGATGGTTTGAAAAAAAAAAACAAAGAATTTCTCTTATTATACATTTAAAAAAAAATCAAATAAATTATGCATGAAAATATAAAATATACGAAAAAAACTTTTAGTGTAATCACATTGCTTTTACGATTCACATAAAAAAGGTAGACCACCGTTTAATTATCATTCAATACTCAAATCACTGTTTCATCTGATGGGAAAAATAATGACATTGGTGCAACTAGAGTTCGAGCTTGGTTGAAATGGAACTAGAGCTTTATGCGTTTGATAGGGAGACAAGGGTTAATTTGAACATCTATCCTAAACGGGGTAGGTCTGAAAGCATTATTATTTTTTTTTCTTTATCTAAAATCAATATATGTTCTTGGGTTAGGATTAAGTTTTATTTAACGGTCCAAACATGTTTCATCAAAAACTGCAAATCAACCATAAAACGTATAAAAAAAATTATTATTACATAGGTACTGAAAGATCGACGGGACGCGTCCGAAATACGGCAAATAAATTAATACAACGATCTGAAGCGTGGGCGCGACGCATAAACTATGAAACATGCAATGCTGAACGTGCTTACTCTTCACAATATTAAGGGTGCAGCGGATATTAATTTCGCATCCACCGTTTGCCTGCGTATGATTTATTGATAAGGAATGATGCAGTTATTATTTCCTGCTATTAAAATATGATGTATTGAAGCTTGAAGGACTCATGGTTAATGCAGTATTAGTTATAGCCTATAGGTATGTTTATATTAATTCATCGTAATTCACATATTTTCAATTTTAATTTGGTTACACCTAGGTTAGTATATTTTTCACGGTTTTTGTTTTTTAAGTGGCTACAGTAACAATAACAATAATTTCTTGAAAATCAACTAACATTTTAAACAGCAGTTTATATTCACTTGTAGAATCTATAATCTATGCGAGTTGGTTATTATTTATTGAGTAAATATTTTATTTTTCTTACATTTTTGACTTAAACACGTCCTGTGTTCAGCTAAGTGATAGCTGTTACTATGTTAGCAGATTCAAATTTCGACATACATTTGAAGTGATTATTAGATTTATCAATATTAAACACTAGTAAAATATTTGAATACTTGAACTACGTATTTTTGCAAATTTAAGTACTATAAATAGTAATGCATAGTATTATGTCAGTAGTTAAATTAATAGGTAGAGTAAAATTATAGCTTTTAAAATATTTTGTAAAACTACCTCCATCCTTATATTTCGTTGTGCGTATTATCTTCTAATAATTTGGCTGTAAGATATTTAAGTAAATCAATAAATATTCAACATTTGAAAACGTTTTAATTTATATTACACTATTTATGACTACCTAAATACATACATGAAAGGTTTAACAAACAAGAATTGTTATCTTGTGATTCGCTTATAGTATTGTTATTAGGATAGAATTTTAACGGTTACTATAGAACTATATGTGTATATCTACTATCTATAAATGTTCTTCAATATGACTTTGTTATTTAAAAATAATTCAAATTGAAGAAATGCTTAATGAGGTTTTACATCACAAGCTTTTTATTTTATAATATTTACGTCCGTAAAATAGTATACATAGTAATAAAAGTTTATTTGCATACATTACCAATGGTTTTAATATAAATACGCCATTGCTTGTACAAATATGTTACGCTCTTAATTCTCCGTATATACCTATATATTTAAAATCAATGGTGAACAACTGCATAAATATTTTTTTCGTCATAATTTTATAAAATAGTTTATGATTTTCATTAAATAAATTGATTTGAGTAATATTTATTTAAAACTCAACAGTTAGGAGATATTTCGGTATAAAAGATATATTTTGAATTCACATATTACTAATAATCAAAATAGTTTTTAAATAAATTGATTTTCGAAATTATCTGAATTTTCAATGTCGTAAGTGATAAAACTTAAAAAGTATCATTACATTTTGTAATTTTTAAATTTTAAATTTCAAAAAAGGTAGATCAGTTTTAGCTATATTTTGCTAACATTTCAACGAGAATAAATGTAGGTTTAAGTGTATTAGCATTAGTTCAAAAATTCAATCAAAAATATAAATATGACCATTCAAATTAATAAATACATTATAAAATATGTATATAAATTGAAACCATTTCAACTCATAACCTTAATTTTGGACATAAAATTAATTTAAGACATCTCGTTTCAAAAGGTATCTATTTAGTAAGCATTACCAGAAAAATACAATTTAAGATTAGAGTTATTTTTATGTTGTACCACATAATGAATTATTATTTATCATCAATTTAGAATAAAAATAATTTGTGTTAGAGCGAATTTTATTTTCTAAAAATATGTGAAAAGGAATAAACAAAATACATTTTTTTCTTAACCAGGACTATATATTAACTAGATATATTTATGGACGGTGTTGAAACGTCTAGTCTCACCAAAAGGAATTTATAAGTTATAACAGTAGCTTACTATAGCTTTAAATATCTTTTCTCTTGTATAACAAATCAAGAACATTTACAATCTTAGAGTTTTGACAGTTATATATACGATTGACATAATCTTTATTAATATACATGGTTAATTTATTTTTAATATCCGACTTAATATTTTTCTAGTTATATTAGTACTCACAATATTACACTATCATAATATAGTTATAGGTAATATAATTTATTTTGTTCTAGTAAGAACATTCATTGTCATAAACCCATTATGGCCATTAAATTAAATTTATCCTAACCTAAGATATCACGCATTTTTTCTATGCAGTTAAACTTTTATAATAATTGCCAATCTAACTTATCGCCCCGTAAACAATATTGGCCTTGTGTACAATCATTGCTCGCAATGCCAAGATGGAGCACCCGACCACATAAAAAGAACATGCTTGGTAATAATATAACTTTGAGTTCAATAGCAAAATATAATATAATATACCTGCGGAGTTCTTGTAACGTATGCACTTAACGCAATCGCTCGTTTGTACCAAAACGTTCTTACACTGTGGTATAGGTAGGTACATTAGTTAATTACAGAGGAAATGTTTGTTATGTTTGTACGTATAATCTCAATAATATTGTTATGTATTCTATGGTTGTGTGTGTATCGATAATAATATGCTACCGTGCATGCGTACAACACCTGTAATGTTTGAAACTTAGTTTAAGTACTATACCTATATTTAACAATAATACAACATAAACAAAGACATAACGGTGTTGACATTCTAGATTTGGGAGGAAACTTTTATTTTGAGTTATGTACATTGCAAGCCTTTTAATAAGTATGAGGTTATTTTTTTTTCAGAGAAGGGGTAGTGGATAATTTATTTTTTGAGTAATAAACGATATCTACTTAAGACGTTTTTTTTCTGCAGCATGGTACTGATTAAAAATCGACTGAAAAACTGACACTCGTTGTTGT